AAAAAATTCTATTTTTTTTATTTACATGGGTCTCGATTATCCCCGTATGACCAATCTACCCCTCAATTTCAGATACGAATGTACAAGGATACCGACATTTTCACAATAGGACATCCTACATACTTCCAAAAAATGAAGAAGCCCTTGAACATCCACCATAACTTCAACTTATTAACCAAACATTTGTAATCTTTCTCCTCTTAGATTATTGCCGGTATGACCAATCGCTTTCAAGGGCAGAATCACTAATTCTGATCTTGGATAGGCATGTGGTTCAAATAATTCTTATGATATGTATTATGATGAGATAATGTCAACCTACGATCAATATTCAGAAAGAGCGTAGAATCAACATCACTTCCAAGGTACATACACTCTTCATCTAAAGGTAGCTAAAGTTATGCTTTTTCGAATTCTGTTATTGCGAACAATAATAAGTGAAATTTGTATATTGTTATGAATGCACAAGAAAGATATAATATCTTTGATGAATGCTTAATCTTCTTTTAGAAAAAAGGATTCTTTTTATCCAAATTCTATGTTTTCATCCGCTCATTAATGAATCAACTAAGCCATACGCTAAATTTTGTTAGTTTAGATTGAAGAAGCAATTCATATTGCTACCAGTAATATGATACAACGTGAATGGATTATATATTTTGTTATTTATCTAAAAGATATCATAGCCCCTTTCAATATATATACTTTTTTGTATATGCCTCTGTGTTTCAAAAATATATTTTTTGGATTTCATTTTGTAAGTGTTTCATTTAATTATAATAATATATGATGCTTTTAGAAAAGTACCATATTTCATATAAAAAAATATGTGGATTGTTTGTTATTAATAAGTATTAAACTATTAATATGTGTTGCTCTTTGTATGATAGGAGTGAGTTTTAAGGGGGAATCTGGATCATTTTACCATTGAAATAGTTATGAGTATTTGTTAACAATGTTTGACTACTCATTGCATCTATTCAGTGATAAAAGATATCAAAGTGCAATTTCACTACAACATTAACACCCTATGGTGACGACATTTTCTGAACCTATACTAACGACATGTCGTCGGGATAGGTTAAACAAACAATCATGCAATACACATTCACATCATAGATGAGATAAATTAATCAAAAAGCAATCCTAAAACAGGGACAGCCTGGAATTAGTTTCTAAATCAATTTTGGGCTGGTATTCTAAGCTCTTGATGATTATAAACAAGAGACTTAAACTAACAATCAATGATTCAACATGTTTTCATACTTTTGTTGTTAATAACATCATACTTTTGTTTGTTAATTATAACATCATACTTTTTTAAATTATTGGATCATACTTTTGTTTTCTATTATAATATCATACGTTTGATAGCAACATACTTTTATTATTTTTTTCTGTTATAAATATAAAAAATAAAATAAAATAAAATCTTTTAATAAACAAACTAATAAAGTATGTTGTTATTAATAACCTTTATAGTTAGTTTTTCTTTACTAACAATGTACTTTTATTAGTTTGTTTATTAAAGCATTCTATTTTCACTTCTTTTTCATATTTATAGTACTTATAGCATCTTATTTTTGTTTTTTTTCAGTTATAGCAATGTACTTAAAATATTATTTTGTTTTTTTTTTGTTATAGCACCATACTTTTAATAACAACATACTTTTATTAGTTTGTTTTCTATTATAAAGATAAACAAGAAAATAAAAATAGAATAATTTACTAAACAAACTAATAAAAGTATGTTACTATTAATAACCTTTTTATTTATGTTAATAGCAACATACTTTTATTACTTTGTTTTATTAAAACATTTTATTTTATCATTTATACCACATTATTATTATTATTATTATTATTATTATTATTATTGTCAATTGTAGCAATGTATTTTAATTATTATTTTTTCTATTATAGCATCATACTTTTAATAACATCGTACTTTTATTAGTTTGTTTTCTATTATAAATATAAACAAGAAATAAAAATAAAATTCTTTAATAAACAAACTAATAAAAATATGCTTTTATAGTATTTATAGCATCTTATTTTTGTTTATTTTTTCAATTATAGCGTTGTACTTTAAATATTATCTTTTTTTTTTCTATTATAGCTTCGTACTTTTAATTGCTACGACAACCGTACATATACATTTTATACATTCAAACTAGTAAACCTAAGAAACTAAGACACTCATATATATATATATATATATATATATATATATATATATATATATATATATATATATATATATATATATATATATATATATCCACTTATACATCCACTTCCAAACATATTACATGTACTTAAACTAGTAAACCAAAACAAATAGCAAAATCATGCAATATTATACATACTACATTGCAAACATCTTAATAACATAATCATATATATTATACTCTTTATACATCCAATTCCAAAATGGGGAAACAAATAACCAAATCATGTATATTATACATATAAAATACAAACACTTTAAGTACTTTATCACTTAACCACTAAACACTTTATCAATTTAGCAAATTATCACTTAATTGCTAACATACATACATAATTAATACTTTATCTTCATACACAAATGATAACTACGGTAACATACATACCCAATTTAACACTTTATAACTTAATTAATCACATAATGACTTAATAATATTCAAATTAGCCAAATCAGAAAAAAAAGGCTAAATTAGCCAAATCAGAAAAAAAGGCTAAATATTACTTACCTGCAATAACAGAAATGAAGACAATGGTCATCGATAAAGGTTGTGGTCTATGGTGGTGGCAGTTGTCACAGGTGGTGGCTGTTGTCACCAGAAAACATTTCAGAAAAAATAAAAATAAAAACTCCCAAATTAGTGGAATTTCTTACCTGCAACGACGGAGGGGAAGAGGTGGTCACCGGTGGAGGCTATGGTCGCCGGTGGTGGCAACTGTGAACTGTGGTCACCAGAATCAGTCAAATGTGAAGAAAATAAATTGAATAGGAAACGAGAAGGGGGTGCTATGACGCCGCCTATGAAGGGAATGACTGAAAGCAACGAAATTGGCGGACATAATCGAGAGAGAAATACTGGGGTGCGCCGACAAGTCGTAGGGATAGATATTTCACACGGACCGCCATGTGACAGGCCGACAACTGGTCGTCCGGATAGCTTTCAAAAAACTACGTCGTTTCGTTTTTCTGCACCATGGAATAAAAATAAATGGAAATTTACATTTGTCGTAACCTATACCGACAACAAGTCATCGACATAAGTTTTCAGAACACCGTGAAAAAGTTCTTTGTTCCCGCTGAAGCTGTGGCGACGACATGTTGTCTGCGTACTCTTCAGGTCAAACAAATTTGATCAAAGTTGGCAAAAGATATGGCGACGACTTGTCGTCGGCATAACCCCACTTCTAGCGACGACAACTATCGTTGGGATAGGTGTCTTCGCCATAGGTAGTTATTCTTGTAATGTCTCCAGCTTAGTTTGGGATACTCTATACCCAATAGCTTAGTTTGGGATACTCTATACCCAATTTGAGTGGGTTTTCCCCTCTTTTGGACGTTTTACCCCTGTCCCAATCCTCATTACTTAACAATCCTTTAGAGAGGTTTCTTAGAAAATTTGAATAGTTTAAAGTTTTTTTTTGTTGTCATCAATCGTATACATATGGTCCAGGGGAGTTAAGTTTTTTCATAATTTTTTCATATTATTATGTTTGTTCATAACCGTTCTTCCATATACATAAACATATGACTATACTATCCAAAATAATACATAAATATATATATATATATATATATATATATATATATATATATATATATATATATATATATATATATATATATATATGGAAAAGTTCAATAGAGAACCATAATTATTGGTTTTTCAAGGAACCAAATCTTTTTTTCAATTTCTTGAGCTTATTCTTTATCGAAAAAAAAATCTAAAAGTATCTAAATTCATATATTAACATTGTGAATGTGAAAAATATTTTTCGGATTCACTGTGTGAATCCGGATTCACATTGTGAATTTTCAAAGATTCACATTGTGAATTTGACGTAAAAAAAAAAAAAAGTTCGAATTTGATATCATTGGGAAAATGATAAAAAAATTATGAATTTCTGTATTTTTAGTTTTTTTTGATAAAAAATAAGTTCTAAAAATTGAAAAAAAGATTGGTTTCTTGGTTTCTTGGTTCCTTGGTTAATTATGGTTCTCTATTGAACCTCACTATATATATATATATATATATATATATATATATATATATATATATATATATATATATTAATGTTACGAAGCACGGGCATGTTTACTAGATGAAGTTAAAATAAAATAGACCAACGAATTTCAATATTAATGTTAAGATTAAAAAAGAATTTGTTTACATTTTTTTTACTTACTGCTAAAAATTGTGATGTTCCCACGAAAAAATTATACAACTTGGAAAAACAAAATATTTAAATTTTAAACGTAATTTATAAACAAAACAGTATATATTTTTATATTAATATTGATATTGTTGTATCTAATAAAATTTTAGTTACTATATTGTCCCACAAGTTTCCAATGAAACGAAATCGAAATCGAATATACTTCAACCTCTTAGAAAGTTTTATAACATCTATAAAAGTATGGGTTACAATCAGCATAACTACCCAAACTTTTATATATAACCTACATAACGTATTTCTATAATGAGAAACAAGGAAAATTTACACGAGAGCATGACAAAATTAAAACGAGGACATTTGGACTTTACAGAAAATTAAAATGATTTTGCTAAATCGTTGATAACTTATCTAAATCTAAATCTAAATATAATAATAAAACAATTAAGTCAAGATGCTTGATGAATTCATAGAAATATAACAACTTGACAAAATGCAATCCACAACGCAAATAAAAAAATTATCAGAAAAACCCTAGCTATTTGCCTTTAAATCGATATCCCGTGGATAAAACATCATTACATCCTCCTACGTCAAGGACAATGCAGTTGACAAGAAGTGTTCCTTTATTGTTGTTCTTGTTTTGCCTAGTAATTAAACCGTGTATATCTCAATCAACCACCACAAACACCACCGCCGGTGATGCTACCACCATCACAAAAGCCGCCAACATAAGCAAGCCCGGGTGCCAAAGCCAATGTGGAAATGTAACCATTCCATACCCCTTTGGTATCGGTCCAGGCTGCTTTCTGAGCCGCTGGTTCGAATTAACCTGCAACACTACTTTTAATCCTCCCAAACCCTTCATCGGCGGTCTAACAATTCTTGATATCTCCGACTCTACTTTCCGAGTCGCTAACAAAGTGGCAAGCAGGTGTTATGATCAATTTGGAAACATCACCGAGGACGAATCCATCTCCACCAATATCGGCTGGACATCACCCTTTACGTTTTCAGAACGAAATCAATTCACTTTAATTGGATGCGACGACTTGGCGGTGTTTCAGGGCCCTCTACAAGCAAACTTCACCAGCGGCTGTATCGCGTTGTGTACACAACCTGATCAAGTCTCGAACGGGTCATGTGCTGGTGTAGGGTGCTGTCAGGTTCGATACCAAAGGGAATCAAGTACTACGGAATTTCCATTGCGAGTGTGGCCTCGAACCACATGAATATATGGTCTTTTGATCCTTGTAGTTACTCGTTTATGAGCGAGAAAGAACGGTTTACATTTGGTGGGGTGTCAGATTTTATGGACCCCAATTTCAAGACTAGGACCAAGGCTAGTGTTCCGATGTTGGTCGATTGGGTGATCGGAGACTTGAACTGCAGCGAGGCTAGAAATGCTGGTGTCTTGGCTTGCCAAACGAATAGTTATTGTATCGATTCTGATACTGGAGTTCCAGGATACAGATGTAGTTGCAATCAAGGTTATCAGGGTCAACCATATCTTGATCCAGGCTGCCAAGGTTAAATCTTTCAAACAAAAAATATTTCCCTTTGTATTATTACTAAGTCACTATAATAACTTATTTTTATGTTTGATCTTCAAGATATCAATGAATGTGAAGATCCCAACAGTAATCTATGCGAGGGGATCTGCACCAACACTCCTGGAGGTTACTCGTGTTCTTGCGCAGATGGCTACGTTGGAGATGGATTTCGCAACGGTCGAGGTTGTGTTGCTGAAACATCGGAGTTCCCAGTTATCAAAATTCTCTCTAGGTAATCAACCAGTTGTATTCTTATGGCTTTTGACGTCTTAATCAGATTGGGCAGTTGATGGAGCTTTGCATTTTAAATAGAAAAATAAGAATCAAGGACAGTTTGCGCTAACTCTGATTCCTTCTTTTCTATGAGTGAATTGATCGGGGCTTCTGATTCGTTTTCCTTTAATTAACGTGGAACATGCAGGTATGGGATTTGGTTTTTTGGCCATTTTAGTTGGAATTACATGGCTGTATTTTGGCGTCAAGAAGAGGAACCTTATCAAACTTCGGAAGAAACTATTTCAGCAAAACGGTGGTTTACTACTGAAACAACGAATCATGAGCAGCGAAGGTAGCGTTGATTCAACAAAAGTCTTCACCGCAGAAGACTTAGAAAAAGCCACCAACAACTACGCTGAAGACAGGATCTTGGGTCGTGGTGGCTACGGAATTGTATACAAAGGCATTTTTAGCAACAACCAGGTCGTTGCTATCAAGAAGTCTCGTGTAATGGACGAAACCCAACTCGAACAGTTCATCAATGAAGTCGTTATCTTAACACAAGTTAACCATCGAAACGTGGTCAAGCTCTTGGGTTGTTGCTTAGAGAGCGAGGACCCGTTGCTAGTTTATGAATATGTTTCAAATGGAACTCTCTTCAATCATATTCATGACAAAGGTAAAAATTGGTTATCACTGGAGAATCGTTTAAGAGTAGCTGCAGAATCCGCGGGTGCACTTTCGTATCTTCATTCAGCCACATCAACCCCTGTGATCCATAGAGACGTGAAGTCCGCAAACATATTATTAGACGAAAATTACACCACAAAAATCGCGGATTTTGGAGCATCAAGATTAGTCCCCATAGATCAAACACAAGTTACAACACTAGTTCAAGGGACTTTAGGGTACTTGGATCCTGAATACTTCCACACAAGTCAATTAACTGAAAAGAGCGATGTTTATAGCTTTGGCGTTGTGTTAGCTGAGCTTTTAACGGGGAGAAAACCGTTATGTATGGAAAGAACCGAGGAAGAAAGGAATTTGACGACGTATTTTGTAATGGCGCTAAAAGAAAACCGTTTGTTTCAAATTCTTGATCCTAGAGTTGTAAGGGAAGGAAGCCTAGATCAACTTCAGGAAATTGGTGAGCTTGTGAAAAGATGTGTTAAGCTTACTAGTGATGAGCGACCTACGATGAAAGAAGTTGCCACTCAACTTGAAGGTTTGCGGAAGTTTACTCAGCATCCATGGGCGAATCAAGAAAGGGATGAAGAAATCACGAGCTTGATATATACCGAGAATGAACAAGAGGATCTTTATGGTGTGTCGATTAATCCGTATTCTAGTACAGGTGAACTCTCTTCGGGTTTTAGTATCGATAGCTGTCACGTTTATTCGACACATGTGCCCCAATGATATGAATCAGAGCCATGCAAAATATAAAGAGAAATTACATATCCTCCTACTTTTGTTCTTACTTATCCTTCTACCCATATGAAATAATGATAAATGTCTTTAAATATTATTAATTTTATCAAAATGTGACACATATCACTATTTCACATAGGTAGGAGATAAATAAGAATAAAAAATAAAAGGATATTTAATTTCTCAAATATAAATAGCATGGACCAGTATGTTGGTTAATGGCTTTTGTTATTTTAATATCATTAATTTTTCTATTTGATGTATTTTAAGACATTAGTAATTATTGATTTATTCATAGATTTATGATTCTGTCATATATTATGTTGGAAAAAATTTACTATAAATATTTATATTTTTACTAACTTTGGACATATATAAATATATACATATGTTGTATATATAATTAACTCTAAGTGGGTTTGTGTTCTCCTCCGTGAGAACTTCGAAACGATATATTATATGTCCAAAATGGAGTATATGTGAATGAGATATCGATACTCAAAGACGTGTATTTGACAATAAAGTTAGAAAAAGAGATGAATGTAGGAATGAGTCCCACATCGGTAGAAAGACCAAACTCAACTAGGTTTATAAGCTTGAATGCATGAAATGCTTACAAACTTCCACTGTCTCATTCAATACACGAATGAAAATACTCTTCTTTCTCCTCCTTCTCTATACACCTGCTTCCGGCGATTCTTTCAGGCAAGTGGATATATCCGGCAGTACTCACTATTAAGGTTGTTGTACCCTAGAAACAGACGGCGAATCTGTTTAAAGGAATCGAGTCCAACTCGAGCTTACTACTAACCTTTTCTTATAGAATATTCAAAGAAGAAAACGAAGTCCTATACTAACATATTAAACTAAAGTTCTTCTTCAATTATGTATCTGTTATTAATTTACATTTGGGTCCTATATTTAGTATTAGTTAAGAATAATAGGAAACATTTATAAATTACACTTAGACAAATTCTGATGAGAATGTAAAATTAAGCCACTAAAATGGTCATTTATTGTTATTGTATTGTTTCCTATAACCATATTTTTAAAGACCCACAACACTCGTTATATAAAAAAAATTAGAATGTTTACCTACACGTATGTTAGTCACATTTGTGGATGTGTGGCTAACACACATATTTTGTTCATGTATGGGTAATTTACAATAACATTTTCATAATAATGGTGGTCATCATGTAATATGTATTGGTGATTTGTATCAAGTTTATTACATACGAATATGGCAAGTCATACATCCATTTAAAACAACATAATCCAACAATTATTCAACATGTATTGCATTTAGAATTATACTTCAGATTGATGACAAATCATGAATTGTTGATTTACACATAGCATGAACAAAGCTGCTAGAATAAAGCGCATTGCATTTCCTTGTAACATCTACTTTTGAACTAATTTGATCCTTTTAGATGTTAAATTTGAGGTTTTGGTGTTTTGATAAGTCACATCAAGACAAGGTCTACGTCATGCCGTGAGGAGGCGCTACACCCTTCGTTCCATGAGATTTAAGGTTAGCGTTGTGACGCCGCAAGGGCCCAAAACCCTAGATCTCAAATATTTTGAGACTTATTTAAAGAATGCATGTTATGTCTAGAGTTTGTGCAACCTTTTAAGCATCTTCATCAAACCCTAGCTTCTCTTTTTCATCTTTGAGCTTATCATGCTTGTTTATGCACCTTGAATGAGAAGAGGTTGCATTTGGTGAAGCAAGGAGTAAAGGAGCAAGTTAGTTTCAACATTTTCAGCACCTTCTAGACATATGTAAGTCTTCAAGCTTTGAGCATTATAAGTTTTTATGTCTAGATCTAAGATTTTATGCTTGTATTGGTAGTTGGAATGATGTTGGGTTGTTGTTTGAAGAGTTCCAACCTTAAAGGTTGTGTTTTATGCTTTCTGGACCAATTGTGGAAAGAAGATGAGAAGTTTATCTTGGCATTTGGCCCATACATGAGTTTAAGAGCTTTTTAGTACCATTTTTTTACTTAGACTATGATTTATGGTGTCAAGTAGATGAAAATAGATAAGTTGGAAACTTTATCCGTTGAGACTACATTTTGACATGATTTGGAAGTTTGGAACTTAGATCTTAAATGATTAAGACCTTGGATGAAAGTTGGCTGAAATGACAACATCGTGTCGCGATATAGAGCTATTAGCACAACGACTTCTGAGGCAGATCATGACTATTTTCTCACCTCACTGTTAGCATCGTGACCATAATAGTATAACCTAGATCTTAGGGTTTATATCAAATGCTTTTGTTTCCTTTAGTTTATAATGCTAGTTTGAAAGTACGTTGTCATAATAGTAAAACCTATATTTTAGGGTCTATATCAAATGCTTTTGTTTCCTAATTTACGTGTATAGATTCCCAATAAACCCATCAACTACTTCATGTTTTTAGTTGCAGGTTCTTCGAGTTGAAGGGCAAGGAGCTGACATGATTAGGATATTTGTACATTCTCGGAAAGGCATGGTGTAACGTCCCAAAATTTAAAAGTAAAAATTTCATTTTTAAGTTTGCAATTTTAGGTATATATCCCTTTTTAACCCTTGGTTGTAAATCCTTTTCACTTTGGTCCCTAACCGAGTACGCTAGGCGTACTCTATGAGTACGTTGGGCGTACTGGCTCGAAGGTTCGACGCGGAGGCACGCATGTACGTTGGGCGTACATGGGAGTATGTTTGGCGTACGCTAAGCATGGGCAAACCCTAATTTTTAAGGTTTGTGCCATATTTAAACAACTTATGTTGCCATGGGAGCATCTTATGGTCAGCCTCCACTTCTCCAAACCCTAAGAACGAAACCCTAATCTTTAGTGTTTGTGAGCCTTTGTGTGATTTTGTGGTGTTTTTTGTGACCCTTGAAAGAAGTGCAAATTGGTAGTGAAGCTTTGGTGGACTTGGAGCTTGAAGATCCAGGATCTTCATCAACTTTACAAGTTATTTTGAGGTATAAAGATCCTAACTTGATGGTTCCTTATGCTAGATCTAGTTTAGGGCTTTATTTGTTCATTTTGGGTCCTTTAATCCATTCTTGAGACTATGTGCTACTCCAGAAGATTGGGATGTTAGATCTTGGCTTATCTGAGGTCCCTTGTTCATAAAAATGCAACCTTTATGTCTTATTTTGATCCATGCATGATTTAGGGCTCTTAATATGGGTCCTAATGGTCAAAATTGAGTGTTCAGTCCTTTTGAGCCATGCAAAGGCTCCAAGTTACGAGCATTATGGATTAGGACGTTCATGTAGACTTGGATTTGAAATTTGGATGCTTGAATGAAAGTATTAAGCACTTAAGGAAAAAGTGCTTAATAGGCACGTATGCTGGGTGTACTGAAGAGTACATTGCGCGTACGTGCCCGTGTCTGCGACCATGCATGCAACCCAGTACGCAGGGTGTACGTATGGTATGCGACCATGCATGCAACCCAGTACGCAGGGTGTACGTATGGTATGCGACCATGCATGTCCTTTTGGACTCTTGGGAGTGCATGAAGTCATAAAAATCGTATCTTGAAGGTTAAGACTCAATCATGCAAGTTGGTGACCAACTAAGTGAGTTGGAGGGCTTAATTCATAGTTTGAACCCCAATAAGGCATGCAACAGCATAAAGTTTGCAACTCTATGGATTAAGACACTATTAAGAGCTTGGATATAAGTTTTGACATTAAAGCTTAACGGATTAAGACATGGGAGCAATAATAGACTAACTGAGTAGTACGATGCGTGTACTGGGCCAGTGCCTAGATTCTGGATCATCAGCGAACATCGAGTGTACGAGCCATGTATGCGACGTGTTTGCAGTATGTGGGCTTATGAGATTTTTGGGCTTGAGTTTGTTGGACTTTTTTTACTTGTTTTGGTTTGGGCCTCAGGCTTACCCATAGTAGCAGGAAATTTTTGGGCTTCAGGCCACTTTGGGTGCTCTTGGGTCATATTGGGCCTTAAGGGCCTTATAGTTGGGATTGGAATGCCTTTTTGGGGTAGTCGGATTTAGACCTTGGTAGGGCAGGCTCAATGAGGAAAGGGTTAAGCAACCCTTTCTGCTTTTAAGACAAGAATTAGAGTTTGAACCCTCGGGTTAGAATATTGGCCTAATTTTTAATTAGGATTTTATACTTGTGCATTAGGGAGAGGATTTTGCGAGTCATCCGTTGAGTGTGATTTGATATCTTCAGTTTGAGGTGAGTTTCCTTCACTGTATATGTGGGTCGAAGGCACCAATGTCGGCCAACTAGTTTATGTTGTAGTATGATGGTTGGCTTCATGACAACTGTCAGTTGTGCCTGTGTTTGCTTGATGACTCTGTGATTCTTTGTTATGATATTATATGGTAGTGGTAGGGGTGAAATAGACCCAGTATCAGGTTGAAATAGACCAAAGGAGATTGCAAGCACCCAAATATGCTTGACAATATCCGGTTAAAATAGACAGAAAGGGATCGCAAGCACCCATATATGCTTGGCACTATTCGGTTGAGATAGACCAAAGGGGATTGAAAGCACCTATATATTCTTGGTTGTATATTTGTATGGTGTGGAGTATTTTGGGGGGAACTCACTAAGATTTGTGCTTACAGTTTTTAATTTATATTTCAGGTACTTCCATTTCGAAGGGGAAGGTCCCGATCTGATCGCACCGCATCACCCTATGATTTCCTCATTTTGAGATTTTTGGAATTTGTAATTTGATAACATGTTGCTATGATACACTTTTGAAAGATTTGATATGAGTATCGTATGTGTTGAATGGATTTAAAAACAAAATTTCTATCTGTATTTTTTGGATGTTACAGTTCTGGTTCGGGCTCTAGGGTCGGACAGTTGGATGAGCAAATGTAGGGGTTCACTTCGTCTGAGATTACCCACAACATACTTGGGCAGGCTCCTGTGATCATTGGTACGATCAAGGAGGGTATCATGGAGGTTTTGGAGGAGCGCTTGGGCTCTTTCCGTTTTGAGATGGTAGCATTGATGGGAACCCGCACGTTGACTTTCTGTGAAGTCTGGGCATGTGGGGCTCTAGTTAAGGAAAAAGTGCTTAATAAGAGTGTACTTTACGTGTACATGCCCATGTCCGGGACCATGCATGCAACCTAGTACGCAGGACGTACGTCTGGTATGTGTAGCATACCAGGCCTAGGGTGGGCTTTTGCGTTTTGGGCCATTTTCGGACTAGTGGAGTTTGGGCCTTGTTAGGCCATCGGCCCTTTTTATTTTATGACATTGTTTGGCTCTAGGCCTTCTTGTGTTTGGGCCCATAATGCGTTTTGGGTATCTTTTAGAGCTTTGAGCCATAATGGGATTTTTGGTGCTATTGGATTGGGGCTCGGATTTTGGGCCAAGTGGGAAAAGGGTAAAATGGAAATTTACCCTGAGTGTTGGACAACTGGACTAGGATTTCAGCTATGGGCTATGGACCAATTATTAATTGGGTATTATTTAATGATTTTAGAGAGGGATTTTCCGAATCGGCAATGTCGGCCCATGGTTTATTATAATTAGGATGGTAGTTGGCTGCGTGACTCTTGCATGTATGTTATGTGATATGTATACCGGGGGGGGGGGGGGCTGATGAGTGTATTGTATGTCATTTATCTTTGTGATTCTTGCATATGTTTATGTGTCTGTATGTATACCGGCGGGGCCCGATGCCAGGCGGAGCCTAATGAATGTGATGAGGCGGGGCCCATCTCATGTTACTGACAGATCTGTTCCGAGCGGGGCTCGATGTCGGGCGGGGCCTGTTATATGTTTGATATGTATGGTATGTGGTGTTTTGGGGAACTCACTAAGCTTCGTGCTTACAGTTTTAGTTATGTTTCATGTACTTCTGGTTCGAAGGGGAAGAGCTCGGGATGACCGCATTGCACACACACTATGATTTCTGCTTTATATAACATTGATGTATCGGATTGGTCGTTTGACATACTATGATTTTCTTTTATGGCTTTATAAAAGACATTTGGGTTGATGCTTTTATTATAATTAAAATGACATTTTTGGTATTAATTTTTGGGACGTTACACTTCAATATTTGAACTTTATACCTCATGAAGATGCACAGAGGTGAGAATAATCTGGATCCAAAATCTTGAAAGCAACTCCCCAACTTTAAAGGTTTTCATGCACTAATAAGAACACTAAAATATCACTAAAAAGCTTCAAAACTTGCACACAAGAATTAGGGTTTTTGAGATGAGGGTTAAGAGGGATGGAGGTTGGAGGTAAGGAAAGGTTTAAGTCCATAAAGTCCTTTAAATAGAGTCCAAACCCTAAAAATTAGGGTTTAAACCTTTCACAAGTACGCTCTGTGTACCTACATGTACGCCCAACATACGAGGCCGAAGTCGCGACCAGATAAAATGAGTTACGCGGGGCGTAGCTCCAACTTACACCATGCGTAGGGAATGAAAATTGTGACAACCCGAAATTTTCATTTGTATAATCTCTACAGTCAAACACTTCAAATAATAGTAAAAAAAAACATTTCAGTACATTTTTGGCCGGTTTTAAGTCCGTTTGGGTGCTTTATTTTTTAAATTCGTCAAACGAATAAATAAAAGGAAGTGTCGTTATGAGTGAAGTGTAACAAACAAAACAACTAACACCTTAGCTAGGTGTTTACGGCCAAAAAAGAGAAGTTTGGGCCGTAAACACCATTTTTCCAAGAACTCATGCATATAGCATGAGTTTACCCACTATTCCCTCACTTTACACTTTCCACCTCAAGAACACCAACTTTTTCTCTCAAGTATCATAAGTTCATTTCTTCAAATCCGCCAAAATGTAAGTGTTTCCTTCCTAGATTCGTTCATATAACACTTAATCTAGTGTTTATACATCATTTCATCCATGGATTCTTGATATTTACTTAGATCTTTAAGTGTTCTTCAAAACACCAAGAACACACACTAGTGTTTTTGGGTCCTAAACACTCTTACAAGCTTCATATAAGTAAGTA